AAAGAAGTCTGACCAATCAGAACACTTGTCCTGAGATCCGATGATCCTTGAAAGAAAAGGATCATAGGATCCGATGGAAGGCAATGTGATAGGGTAGACGCCACCCGGGACGAATCCGGGTTAAGGGCGATCCGTACCCATTGGGATAACTTACAATTGGCCAGCAAAGAAGTCTGACCAATCAGAACACTCGTCGTGGGATCCGATGATCCTTGAAAGAAAAGGATCGTAGGATCCGACAATAAGAGTTATGATTGGTCAGAGTTCCTGGCTGGCCAATTGTAACTTAGGTAAAGTCTATGGATCCAGCATCCATCTTTTCGATTGGCTCCTTGCGAAGTTGGCACTTGCGACCAATAAGAATAAAGATAGTCGGATCGCGTGTTAACCAATCACAGGGCAGCCCAGGTCCGTCCTCCGGGTATATAAAGCGGCCGACTTCCGCGCGGTCGCACAGTATGTCCCAGTTTCTTTCTCCCGCGTGAGAAAAAAACGATCCAGTGTTTCCTTTTGTGAGCTATGAGACTTCGCTATTTGAAACTTCTCTTTCCACGCCGCTGTGAAACTAAAACGGCCTTTTCAGGACGTTTGGTTTGCGTTGTCGACGTCGACGTCTCCGTGAGACTCCGTCGACGACGCCTATTTGAAACTTCTCTTTCCACGCCGCTGTGAAACTAAAACAGCCCTTTTCAGGGTTTGGCATGACGGCGACGTCTTTGTGTCTTCTTGTTGATGATGTCGTTGTGAAAGTGCCAAAAATACCGTGTCAATTCAACGATGGTACGGGCAAATGATCCATGACGTCGCTGCTAGGAATATTAACGAACTTTGCAATATTAACGAACTTTGTTTTTGGGAGGAATGATGGTTGGTTTTACCGAATGGATCATCGGATCCGCACGTCATTAATCGCGTGGCATCCCGGATCCGTATCCCGAGTGGATACAAAAGTCGAAGGGCTATGGAAAAACCAAGTGCAACAAGGCTGCGCTGCACCGAACGGATCACCGGATCCGCACGTCAACCAATCCTGGCGAGGCACGAATTCGTTCTCGAGTATATATAGCGAGCTCGATTCCTGCATCAACCATCAGTCTCTACTATGGCGCGTACCAAACAAACTGCTAGGAAGTCTACCGGTGGTAAGGCACCGAGGAAACAACTTGCTACAAAAGCAGCAAGGAAAAGTGCTCCTGCTACTGGTGGAGTAAAGAAGCCTCATCGTTATCGTCCTGGTACTGTTGCGCTTCGGGAAATCAGGCGATACCAGAAGAGTACTGAGTTGCTCATCCGCAAGTTGCCCTTCCAGCGTTTGGTTCGTGAGATCGCACAAGACTTCAAAACCGACCTGCGTTTCCAGGGCTCAGCTGTGATGGCCTTGCAGGAAGCCAGTGAAGCTTACTTGGTTAGCTTGTTTGAAGATACTAATCTGTGCGCCATTCACGCCAAGCGTGTTACTATCATGCCAAAAGATATTCAACTTGCAAGGCGTATACGCGGAGAAAGGGCCTAAGTTCCCTTTTTTTTTTTTTAAACCAAACGGCCCTTTTCAGGGCCATAAGCATGTTTATGGAATAGTTTTCCTCTTATATATTGAAGAAAAGAGATAGTGTAAAGAAAACATCTGCCAAAAGTGGATCCACGACATTTCAAACATTTTTTGGTTTTAGCGGATCACCGGATCCGCTGCGGACTGTTCTGACTGGCTCCCCCGTTTCCCTGCTCACCACTGCGTTCGCCGCTCCCGAGCCGGGTATAAATACTCATGCCCCCAGTTCCCTGCGTTCATTCTGTGACTAGCTCTCAAATCAACATGACTGGACGCGGTAAAGGCGGCAAGGGACTTGGAAAGGGAGGCGCCAAGCGTCATCGCAAGGTTCTCCGAGATAATATTCAGGGTATTACTAAGCCTGCAATCCGTAGATTGGCAAGGCGTGGTGGTGTCAAGCGTATCTCTGGTCTCATATATGAAGAGACTCGCGGTGTCCTGAAGGTGTTCTTGGAGAATGTCATCAGAGATGCAGTCACCTATACTGAGCATGCCAAGAGAAAAACTGTTACTGCTATGGATGTTGTTTATGCGTTGAAACGACAAGGCCGTACTCTGTATGGTTTTGGCGGTTGAAAGCTGTCAACATTCTTTCCAAACGGCCCTTTTCAGGGCCACAAAATACAATTGAATTCATTTTCCACTCCAAATCATTAATTTTCATGCCAATATCAATAATATTTCGCAAAAATATTTCGAATATTTTTGAGGAATCAAAGTTGTATCATGCCTTGTAATTTTTTCAAAAGTGGTGGATCAACGGATCCGGGGTCGCGTGCGCTCATTGGTTGCACTCGACTCCCGGCCAGACATGAGTTTGTGCCCCGGCTCCGCTGATCCGGATCCGCTCAATTTGTATATAAAACGCCACAATGCCTAACCATGCCATCACTCCGTTTCGAGCAGTGGAAGAAGAAACATGTCGAATCGTGGTAAAGGCGGCAAGGTTAAGGGGAAGAGCAAGACCCGCAGCAACCGTGCGGGGCTTCAATTCCCTGTTGGACGCATCCATAGGCTTTTGAGGAAAGGAAATTACGCCGAACGCGTTGGTGCAGGAGCTCCAGTTTATCTTGCAGCTGTTATGGAGTACTTGGCAGCTGAGGTACTGGAATTGGCTGGTAACGCTGCCAGAGACAACAAAAAAACCCGCATCATTCCAAGACATCTTCAATTGGCTATCCGCAATGACGAGGAATTGAACAAGCTGCTTTGTGGGGTCACAATTGCCCAAGGTGGTGTTCTGCCAAACATACAGGCAGTCCTTTTGCCAAAGAAGACTGAGAAGCAGAAGTGAGCTTCTTCAGGATGAGCATATTCAAACGGCCCTTTTCAGGGCCAATATCTGCAATTGAAACTGCCGCATTCATTTTGAGAAGTAATAATGTTGTATTGTGCATCATCTTTTAATTGTCAGTATTAACTTCCAGTAACTTGTACCTATTTCAAATGAATTCGTGAAAACGCCGCGAAATGTAAATTGTACCTTGTGTGAAAACATTTGGATCCGCGACGGAGCGTTGAGATTAGCTCTCCACTGCATCGTTTTGGTGAGCTACTGGATCCGCGTGTCCTTGCCATGATTGGCCAAACCAGAGTCGGAACCGGCGCGCGTGTGGCGCGCGGATCCGTCTCTCGAGTATAAATACGATGCACTGCAGCGCGTCCTCATCATTCCTGTTTCAACTCTTAGCGTGCGCGGACTAAATTTTTTGGATCACCGGATCACAGCAGAGCGTTGGGCTTGGCTCTCCACCGTTGCCGTCGCATTGCACTACCGGATCCGAGTTCCGCTGCTGTGATTGGCCTGACGCGAGCGGGAACAGACGGGCGTGCGGCCCGCGGATCCATCTCTTTAGTATAAATACGCTGCTCTTCAACAAGTCGTCATCATTCCTACCATGGCTCCCAAAGTTAGCGGTAAAGCTGTTAAGAAAGCCGGAAAGGCCCAGAAGAACATCGCGAAGGGCGATAAGAAGAAGAGGAAGAAACGTAAGGAGTCCTACGCAGTGT